TCAGCAGGTCCTTTTTGTTAACTCACCACTAATCCAAATGCACTTTGAACAATAGGTCAGTTAATAGAGCCCAGGTACTTACAAGCAGACAGAATCGTTCCAAGGATTCCAGTAGGAGCAGTGTTCTCCCAGCTGGATCCAGGACTTCTGAGGCCTTGGAGAAGAGGAAACCAGCTGGGCCGTTCCTCCTAGTGGCTTTGCCTCGTCAACCTGCAGTTCCTGTTTCAAATGTATCTGTACAAAGTCTGCTTTTGCCAAAGCCATCTGCAGCTAGTGGCCAGGATTTCTAGAAGCTGGCTGAAAAATGGCATGAGTTGGCTCTAATAAATGTATGGTCATCAGAACCTGACTGCTTCACAGTATAACAGAGAGCCTGACAGCTCAAAGAAAGCTTAGTCCATTGGCTTGTGTGTTCAGTGTCATGCTCCCACCCAAACCACAGCAGGTGAGAGTCTGTTACAGCCCTGGCTACAGAGCCTGGGCCTTCAGCCTGTATTATAGTAGCTCATGTATCTAGCTCTAGGGTCCCTGGATCAGTCTTCGTGGTATCAGCCAAGCTTCTGCTTCAAGCGCACGGGTTCCTACTTTGTGACCTAAAGAAGAGTCCCATTGAGCTGTCCAGGTTCCCCAGTGAGTTTTGCCATTGGAATCAGAAGTTTCCCTTCCATTGAAAGGCAGAATCTCTGTATTGCACTTGCACAAGGCTGAGGTAGCCCCTGCCATCCTGGTCACAGACAAATCCAGTTCTGCAGGGCCCTGGACAAGCCCAGATGATAACATAATAAGCTCTCTGTACTATGTTGGGACAGTCCATAATACAGTGGGGTTCTGGTCTGTGATGTAGGATCCCAGCCATTACCTTAAGGCAACAAATAAATAGGGAAAGCACCTTGGATTAAGTGCAGAGCATGGGGGTTCAAAGGGAAGAGGAACATAGCGGGACCCACATTACCTATAGGTTTAGACTGGCATGTTCTCCCAGCAGGACAGACCCTTGGGCCATCTCCTCAGTGGCCTGGTTTTGAGATGCAAGCGATGGAAAGAATGAGGGCATCTCCTCTGGAAAGGCCAGTGCTGTTATGCTTGTTCTGTACTGAAGGAAGTGCAGGAGGTACAGTGGGTCAGGAGAACAGGAAACGGGGAGCTACTGAGCAGCTTCATGACCCTGATGATTAAGCTCTGGATGCTAAACCTGTCTCTGGCTTCTTCCCGTGAAATTCCAATAGTGGGCTGAATGGGCCCTCCAGCAGCATGGGAGATATTTACAGAAGAGCAGCAAGCTTTTCAAAGCTGGGGTGGGGTTTGCTGCATAGCAGTGCAGCTACTTTATGTTGCCTGGTATCAGCAGCATCTAGGTGCATCCTGACCATCCTCAGTGCAGACACGTCCAGCCTGTGGCACTACTTAGCCTGCAGCAGATGGGCTAACTCCATGTACTGTTGATGACCTGGGGAAAGATCCTCAGAGCCTCCATTCCCTCCCAGTCAGTACAGTGCAGGCCTCAATGGAGGAACTGCTTCTGTGCCTGCATCCCATCCACCACCTGCCTAGAATGCTCTTTGTCAGGCCTGGCCTTGGTGGAAGTAGTTTTGCCCTTTCAGGGATAGCACCACAAGCACATAGATGGTCCCCATTGTCACAGTCTCTGTCATATGAGGTAGGGCAGGACAAGCACAGACTAGAGTGGAGCACTGGCCTGGGGATTCAGCAGAACTGGATTCTATTCCAGTCTCTGCTGCAGGACACTTTTGGTAAGTCACCTCCTTGTACCTCTGCTTCCTTATCGCAAACTGGAGATAACAGTGCTGGCATCCTGGAAAGCACTCTTATATTGCATTTTCCATCCTGCATCTCTGAGGCAGGGAGTGGCATTGCAAGTTCACAGATAGGGCATAAAGGCACAAACAGAAGTAGTGAATTACCTGAGGCCACTTAGGAAGTCTGAGTCAGAGGAAGGATTTCAACCCAGCTTTCTCCTCTCTTAGGCTAGTGCCCAGCTGCTGGCTCACCTGGCCATCATCTTCACTCTTGAGATGAGTAGGTCTAAAATTCCATCTGCCTCCTAATTAAAATAACCCCAATCCCAATAGTGACCACATGGCCCTGAAGTATGGCCTTCTGTATCACTATACAGGGCTATACCTTGGTTGCTCGTGGCTGTAGAGGGGCAGTCAGGATGGCCAAGGCGGAGATGGAACTGGGACTAGCTACCCGGCTCAAGGACAGCAAGAAGTCCTTCTTTAAATACATAGGGGGAAAAAAGAAGGTACCAGGTAATGTGGGGCCTCTACAAGGCACACTAGAAAATCTGGTCGTTGCTCCAGATGACGAAGCTAACCTATTTAACAATTTCTTTGCCTCCATTTTTCTGACCAGGGACCGAGTCATGCCTGCCCCCCC